GCTTTTTTTTTGTTGTTGTTGTTTTTCCAATACTGGGAATCGAACTCACGACCTTGCACTTGCCAGGCAGGCGCTGTGCCGCTGAGCTACATCCCCACCCCTATGCTTTGACACTGGGTGTGCAGGGTAGGGTCTTGAATTATGTCTCCAGCTGGAGGGCTTTAGTGTAGTGTGATGCTTTAACTAGCCCTAATGGAACGACTAAACAGAGTAGTTTGTGAGTTCATCTACCAAAGTGAAAACTCCCTTGTGTTTATGCTGCTTGTGCTCTTCTGCCCTGAACATTAGAGGTATTATGTGTTTGGTTACCCTAAATAGCAACTTACTAGATACTCTGTAAAGTGTGCTGCGTTTAGTACCCTGCTGCCTTCCAGGTGCCAGTGCCTGCCTGCCCACACTGCTGGATGTTGAACCCTGGGCCTCACACATGCTAAACAAGTGAGCTGTACCCACCCTCCTTTTAACTGAGACAGGATCTTGCTATATATTTCAGGCTGGCCTTGAACTCACTGTACACCTCAGGCTGGTCTCAGGCTTGTGGGATCCTCCTGCCTCAGCCTCCTAAGTACTGAGATTACAGGTTAGCACCACCATACCCTGCTCAAGTCTTTTTCCCCCCATCTTTCTTTTTTCTTTTTGACACAGAGTCTCCATACGCAGTTCAGGCTGGCCTTGAACTCACTTTGTAGCCCAGGCTGGTCTCGAATTGGCAACAATACTTCTTTCTGCCTCTGCCTCTTGAATGCTGCCACTATCTTTTTAACTAATGGAATTTCCATCATAATTGAAAATCTACATATTAAGGGGTGTTAAATGATCTGAGCTGAATCACTGCCTGCCTGCTCTCTGATGGTAGCAGTACAGCTCTGTCTTCATCATCGGTGACAGGCTCATTGTATTTATGGGAGCTGGGCAGGAGCCTCGCCACCAGTGGCCACTACTACCTCAGTGTTTCAGGCGGCCGGGATGCTGCACCGAACGTTTTTGCTACTACCTCCTGCAAGTGCAGGCAGACGTTACTGTCCTGACTGCCCTCTGGGAGCCTTCTTGTGTCACTGCTGAGACCTGAGCAGGGCGCTGCACCCCGGCGCTGGATGATTGCAGGAAAAGCCTTCCGCCATGCAGTGTGCATGCATGCACCCCGCGGAGGAGAGGAGCTCTGGTCACTCTTGCGACCTGCAACCCTGCTGAGCCGGGCTGCTTCTGATTTCTTGAACCTTACCACTTACTGTAGGGAAGTACGTACTGCACTGTGTGGCTACTTTTTGTGATAATGTCCCAGACTTAGTGTAATGCACGTTGCACTATTATAATGAGCACACCAGCATAGTACATGTTTGTTTGTTTGATACAGGGTCTCACTGTGTAGTTCAGACAGCCCTTCAACTCACATATAGCCCAGGCTGGCCTCGAACTTGTGGGGATCCACCTGCCTCGGCCTTGGAGTGCTGGGATTACAGGCATGCACCTCCACGCCTGACGCGTATTTATTTTTCAGTGGAGTTTAGCTCCACATCTCTTCTGTTGGTCTACCTATTTGTTTTCTATTGTACCTTAGTGATCCAAAGGCTGATGGTGACAAAACGGCAGATGTAAGTCTCCAGCATTGATGGGGCTGTGAGGGATGTGGCCCAGGTTTCATCAGGAAAGAAGGAGGAAGGGTCTTGTGTTTCTGCACAGTCAGACTGAAATAAGAGACAGCTAGCAAGTGAATCACACTACTCTGGACAGTTCAGCAGATTGCCTGGGTAATGAGCATCAGCACTCAGGTCCAGTGAGGAGTATCCAGAAGGTGTTGGTTGATTATCAGCTTTTCATGCCTGCTGTGAATGCAACAAAAGACAAATCTTGCCTTTCTTCTGATTTAATTATCCCCACATAGCTACCAAGTCACTCTCTTTAAAAGAAGGCCATGGTGCCAGCTGTGGCGATGCACGCCTGTAGTCCCCACACTCAGGAGGCTGAGGCAGGAGGGCTGCTAGCAAGACTCTTGAAAAAGAAACAAACAAGCAAGCGGAGAGCAGTGAGTGATTATGAGCTACAGGCTGGGCCGGGGATATAGCTGAGCAGCACAAGCACCTGCCTGGCAAAGCACAAGGTCCTGAGTTTGATTCCTGGACAAAAAAAAAAAAAAAAATAAGCTACATGCTTAGATTACTCCCAAACCCAAGCCCAGGGTTTATGGGGTGCTGACAAGTGTTTGCTGAACAAATGATGTAAATTTTAATAAAAATACAAAATTTAGCCAATTATCGCATGCCAAATCTGGTAAGAAAAAAAAAATCCCAAACAAACAGAAAAGCCTACTGCAGTACAGTCCATCAACTTTATATTGCGTGTACCCAGTATATTATTTCATCAGCTGGTACACTAAATGACGTTTTTGAGGCTATGCCACACGTATCTTTTTCAAGTACCAAAGCTAGTAGATTCATAGACTGTCTGTAGCAGGAATTAAGGGGAAGCTTAAGGAACAGGTTTTTAGGAAGGTACAGTGCTTTTAAAGCTTGTGGGAAGGGTCTGGGGTGGGGTGGGGGAGTAAAATGATTAAGATGTATGTGCGAGGGCAGAGCACACGCTTGTGCATGCCAGTTCCCCAAGATGAACGGAGTATTGGGCACCACAGACAGATATGAGTATAAAAAAGAAAACTTAAAAAAAGTAGAGGGCTGAAGGTGTAGCCTGGTGATGAGGGCTTGCCTAGAGTGCCCAAGGCTCTGGGTTCAACCTTCAGCACTACAAATGATTGCGTTAAATAACAGATGGTGAGGAAAGCTGCATGACTATCTGTGATGCTTACATCTTTGTTGGTGGTGGTGTTTTTTGAGATAGGGTTTTGCTGTGTAGCCCAGGCTGGCCTGGAACTTGCAATTCTCCTGCCTCGGGCACCTGAGTGCTGGGATTGCAGGCACGCACCACCATACCTGGTGCTTACAGTTTCTGCCAAGTGCCTTTATAAATGTCAGTTAAAGCAAGATGCAAAGCTTGGGACCCTCAGTTCTCAGAAAGGGGACTGGGGACGAAGCTCAGGGGCCGAGCACTTGCCTTTGCCTGTTGTGGCTGTGGCCCTGGGTTTGAACTCCAGCAGTAGGAGAAAATCAGAACCAAAAAACTCAAGAATACAAAGCTCTAAAATCTCATATTTTTCTCATTGTAAACGGAATTCAGACAATCAATCCTAGAGGGATAGTTACAAAAACCAAACATTGGGAGTATTTACTTATGAGGATTGATTTTTTTTTTTTTTTTTTTATTTATTTATTTTTTTTTTTTTGGGTGGAGGGATATAATAGAAAATACATGCCTTTTACATTTTTCTTCAAATATTTCTGTGT